CTCCGAGAAAGCTATCTGGTCCGGATGTGAAGCCTGATGCCAATTGTAGGCCCCGCCGTGCACCGCGACCTGCGGCGGGCGTGCACTGTATCCTTGATCGGCAGGAATTTGCACAACCCTCTCGAGGGGAAAATGCTCCATACGAATGTGTTGTGGCTGGATGACAGTAGGTAGCGCATTGGGATTCGTGCTCGTAAAGGCTGGATTTATTGTCATGTGCATAGTGGGATTAAATTGTTGTGGAGAAATGCCGGCTGGGATAGGCGGTTGAGTTTGAGTGTAAACAGGCCTCACGGGCCCCAAAAAGTTTGCAGGATATCCCATTTGGGACGGAATTTGAACAACATGGGCATGGTTCATATTTTCCTGCTGAGGGTCCACATAGGCCTGGACATAAGCTGAAACTGGCGGATAACTCACCACATTAACAGGCATCAATCTCTCCACATCTTGCTCAGCGATAACACTTGTACTGGGAACCGTACTAACAACTGGAACGCCTGTTTCAGCAGAAGAAGGCTCCGTGCATGATACTGGATTCGGATTCACATAATTTTCCTTGGGCGACAACCCAGCACTAGACGGTATACCAATAACCTCCCCCAAGCGATTACTTAATAACCCATCACCACCTTCAGTACCACTCAGGTCCGAAGAATTCTGACCGGAAACAACACTCTCAATACTCTCCTTCCTCGCAATACGACTGGTGCTACCATTGTGGCAGCAAAATCCATCCAAAACACCATTCACGGCCTCCACATACCTCTGCGCGCCATCCTGAAGATCCCCGACCCCTGGAAAACCCCCGTTCTCAACCTCCAAGGGCGTAAACAGAAATATCCTCAGCTTAGCTGACCCGTCCGGACACCTCTCAACCAACTTCTCGTACTCATCCATCATGTTCTCAAGATCATCCGGACATGAAACAGAGACAAGCGCATCAAGATCCTCGTCTGGCAGCTGATACTTAACAGCCACACCCTGCGCATATATATCCGCCATTTTCCGGATGAATTCGCCAAAGCTGATGCCCCTCCTGACACTAATTATTCTGGTCTGTCCCCCAACGTATCTCAATGCACCGTCACTCAATCGGGGAAGTATTTTGCCGCCAAAACTGCACAAAAATTTAACCTTGCGGCCTGATGCTGAGTCATTTCCGCCTCCATCCTCGCTGGCATGATCCGAAGCACCTGCCACAGCCAGCGGCCTGAACCTCGGGCTGTTCCCATACCCCCCTGCCGGATGAGTGATCAAGGTGGGGCCCGTCTGGGGCTGCAGAACGGGCACAACCTGCTGAACCCACCCAGCGACTCCTGGAGTGGGGTTGTCATTGAACCCTACGGGTACAAAGGGTCCTTCCGGCAGTGTGGGTGGGTAATAAACGGCAGGCATGGTGCTCGGGCTGCCCCCAATTTCAGCAGGTGGGTTTGTGTAGAACCCTCCAATTGGCCTACAGGATGAATCGGGGGGTGGGCTTGTGTAGAACCCTTCAATGGGCCTACTGGACGAGGTCACGGGGGCGAGTCTAGGGTCCTCCGGGGGTGCGTTTCGGACTATATTCAGAGGGCGTAAATCTTTCGGTACCGAGTTTGCATCGAAGGCCATTACTAGTTCTGACACAAAGAAAGTTCAGATTTTATTTTTTTCTACGAGAAATCCCAAACGAATTCTGGTGTGCATGCCAGTTCAAATTCAGCTGTAAAGGGCAAACGCAAAATACCATAAACCAACATAAAACACGAATCTACAAAAAATTCATAGATAATAGAAGGACTAGGATGAGAAATAGCAGGTAACCTGATATTTAAAAATGGGGTGACATTCATGGAAGCGAGAGGTATTGAGAAGAAGAGTTTGAGGCGGTGAATATCCAAGAACCTCTTCTGTCTCTCTCTCTCTCTCTCTCTCT